GCCCGAGCGTGCCCCAGGGTCCCTGAGAAGCCATCTAAGCCATTCCTTGCTTGGGGCTGCTCAGGCTGAGCCCTTGGTGCCCTCCCCACCGCAACCCCCACGGCATGGGGCTGGGGGGGCCACCCGGCCTGTGGGCCTCCCGAGCCGTGGCCGAGCCCGCCACCCTGTCTTTGGCCCGTTGGAGGCCACCCCGCGTCCCAGCTGCGCTCAGAGCTGGGTCCTGATACTTGCTTGTCTTCCGTCCTAGTGCCCGAGATGTATGCAGTGTGATGCCAAGTTTGACTTTCTCACCAGAAAGGTGAGCTGGGGCCATCGGGCGGGGGGCCCAGGCCAGCATCGAGCCCCTTCCGGGGTGGGGGGGTGCACCGGTTTGTCCTGGCGACCGCCTGAGGAGAGCAGACCGTGACTCGGCCCCGGGGTCCGCGTGCAGCTTGCACACCCGTGTGACCGTGCCAGGCGCTGCCACACACATGGGTCTTGCCCCCCGAGGAGGGGGGTGGCCTGCCGTGTGTGCGGCCGTCGCGGCGACCGCATCCCTCTGGCGGCCAAGACCCTGGCGGGGCCGGTGTCGGCGGTGGGGGGGGGGGGGGCGCCCGTCCTCGGTCCCCTCCTCACCGCCGCCCCTCCCCGCAGCACCACTGCCGCCGGTGTGGGAAGTGCTTCTGTGACAAGTGCTGTGGCCAGAAGGTGCCGCTGCGGCGCATGTGCTTCGTGGACCCCGTGCGGCAGTGTGCCGAGTGCGCGCTCGTGTCCCACAGGGAGGCCGAGTTCTACGACAAGCAGCTCAAGGTGCTCCTGAGCGGTAAGCCTGGGCCGCCTGGGCGCCACTGGCCCGCGAGAGCTCGGTCCCCGCCTGTCCGGCTCCCCGCGGGGGCTTCCGAGCCCCCTCCCGCGTGGGGCCCTGCTGTGCGGCTCGGCGGGGGCAGCCTGCGGGCCTTCTCCCCTGTTCTGGTCTGGCCCTGGCTGCTTCTGGAGCCCGTGGGTGGAGGGCTCTGTGCTCTTGGCTCGGGGCCTTCGGGATGGAGCCCCCAGGGCCTCTCAGGGAAGGACGGAAGGTCCTAGAGCTTTCAGGGTGCACAGAGCCTCTCCCGACAGCGGCGCCTTCTGCTCTTCCTCCGTCACGGCCTTGCCGCCCCACCGGGTGGACCTGCGGGCGCAGCCACGGCCCTGATCTCGCTTGGATTCACTTCGTCCTGGGGGCGCGTCCCCCTGGGAGCTGGCCTCGCCGGGCCAGGGAGGGTGAGGCGTGAGAGGGGCTGCTGTGTTCTCATGTCTGTTCTTCTATCCCCAGGAGCCACCTTCCTCGTAACTTTTGGAGACGCCGAGAAACCAGAAGCAATGGTTTGCCGTCTCTCCAACAACCAGAGGTAAGAGACAGAGTGCTGCCCGCCACGGACAGCTTTGTCCCTTCGACCCTGGGGTGATGTGCTGTGGCTGCTGTGTTCCCTAGGTTCCTGCTTCTGGAAGGGGACAGCCGCTACGAGATTGAAATCGCACGCATTTCCACCGTGCAGATCCTCACGGAAGGCTTCCCCCCTGGGGGTAAGTGCAGTAGGAGGTTTGGTGCCAGTGGGGGGGGGGGCAGGGGGAGACCTCTGGAGAGGATGCCGCGGCCTGGAGGACGGGGTCTCGGGTCTCTGAGGGGCCTGCCGTTGTCCTCTTGGGCTTGTATTTAGTAAGTGTCTTCAGGAACCTGCCAGGTAAACGGGGCTGAATATGTCCAACAATGAAGAATTTCCCGAATGTGCCACAGAAAAGCTCTTCTGTCCTATTGTTGGCCTCACACCGAGGATAAAGCTCCTGGTGCAGTTGGCATCTCCCCTGTGCTCAGACGGCTCTGAGTGGGGCTCATTGGGAACCAGCCCTTGTGCTCCTGTCAGGTGTCTGTGGAAACGAGACCCCCTTGTGTTTCCTTGGTGAGCTTCCCGAGCAGTTCCCCCAGGTCTGGATCTTTCCACCCCGGCTTCTGCGCTTTAGTAGCTGTCCTTCCGTGGTGGTAGAGTCTGTGTTCTGTGTGGTGCAGAGTGTGCTGAAAAAAGTCCATGTGACTGATCCCTTTGCGCTTTCTGTTTTCTGATTGGCTCTTGGTTGTTCTTCTCTCTTGCCTGCCTACCTTCTTGACGTAGAAAAAGACACTCACACTTACACCAGCCTCCTGGGGAGCCAGCCCGTCTCCGAAGGTCAGCCACACGCTATGCGCCGCTCTCCCCCGCCTGCCGCGCCGCGGCTCTGAAGTACTCACTTGTTCGGTTGATTTGAAGGAGGTTGGGCACAAGACGTGGGTATAAGCAGCATGACTGGAAGTATCCTGGCAGCAGAAATGGAGTTTATCCGCTCCGTTTCTCAATCCCAAGGGGGGCAGCTTTACCCAGTGTTTCAGAGCTGTGCGTCAGCAACTGCCGGCCCCAAGCTGGCCGAGTCCGGGGGCACGGGGCGCCGTGGGCGGCCACCCTCCGGTACTTCCCTGGGCCTTCACAGCCAGGCTCGCTCGGCTCCTCCAGGAGCCTCGGCCAGCTCTGCGCTCCAGTCGGGAGTCCCGGGATGGGGAGCGTTCCCCTGCCTCTGTGCCCCAAGTCGGGGTGTGGCGTTGGCAACACACTGCTTGCCTGTGGCAGGTGGGAGTCGAAGACAGCCAGGGACAAAGGGCAGGGCGTGGAGAAGCGGGGGGTCAGCCCAGGTGCCCCTCTGCCTGCCTCCTGTTAGGGAGCGGGGGCGGGAGGGGGCTCAGGAACGTACCCGGTCGGAGCCCCTCCCGGGCCTGGTGAAGCCTCGTCTTCCTTGGCAGGGCCCTGGGGCTTCTGGTGCCGCACACCCCCTTCTGGCATTTTTTGGGGTGCAGTGAGCCCTGCTCTGCCAGAGGTTTTCTAGAACCTTTGGAAGCCCAGAATCCTGTCTTCCCAGGGGTGGTACTGTTCTGAGCGGACGGCAGTCCGAGGCGCTGCCAGGCAGTCGCTGTTGGCTTTGCTGGCTCCCTGGATGCTTACGAAGTGCAGAAGCGGCCAGAGGCGACGGGCTGTGCGCTGATTAAACGCACTCATGAGAGCGGGGGGGGGGGGGGGGGGGGGGGCGCGGAGCTGTGGCTGGTGCCCCCGAGGGGGAGTGGGCACTCCTGCAGGGCGTCTGGTCAGGGACCACCCTGGCGACACGCACAGAAGGAACGTGGCCTCCCCGGCCTCAGATGGGACAGCACTTCACCGTTGCCGTCGTACGGTGGCCAGGCCCTGTCCGCGGCTGCCGCCCACGGTCCACGGGTCTGGGGGAGAGGCAGGCTCTCAGGTTTGACTCCGAGATCAGTGTCTGATGGAAGGAATCTTCCATGAGGTGGATCCCTGCTCAAAATGGAGTTTTCATCCTGAAGTCACAAAGTAGGAAAGCTGTAGGTGGACTTCACCGTGAGGCTTGGTCTGCGCGGACTTCTCCAACTAGTCGTGACGGAGAGCGCCGGCCTGTTCTGAGCGGTGGGTTCTCGAGCGGCTGGCCCCGGCCTCAAGAGGGCCGCTCCCCCCCATGGCATGTTTGCGGCACTCACGCGTGCGGGTGGGGTGTCGGCACGTCTCTGCTGGGCCTTGCTGCACTCTCCGTCCCCAGCGGCGGGATGGCTACGAGGCCGGAGTGATGGCCCGTGTGCCCCAGGCAGGCCCTGCGCTCTGGCTGCAGGCGGGTGGGATTGGTGTGCACGCGGAGCCGGCCGGCGGCCTGAGCGCAGGCGTCCCCACGGGGGACTGGGTGTCGCAGCCATGTTCGTCTCACTCGGCTCAGTGATACTGCACGGTGCGGCCCGGGCCCTTGAGGGCCAGGAGACTTCCTCTCCCACCCTGTGAATTTGGGGTCATCCACCAGAAGGCCTCTGGAGCACAGGCCCCTGCGCCCCAGCCTCCGGCACCAGCGTGAGGGGTGGGAGGGCGGGTGGAATCCTGGGTGCTTGGGGTCCCCGTGGGCCTTCTGACCTCGTCTCCCTCCTCCAGGGGGCAACGCACGGGCCACAGGCATGTCCCTGCAGTACGCAGCACCAGGGGCGGAGGGCATGACCCAGCTGAGGCTGACGGCGGGGGAGGACGCAAATGCCAGCAGGAGGCAGTCGACAGCGTGGCTGGCGGCCATGCACAAGGTAGCTGGGCTGAGGCGGGCAGGGACGTGCGGGGTGGGGTAGGGGGCCTGGCCCCTTCTGCTTCGCGTGCAGGCCCGCTTTTCCCAGAGGAAGCCCTGCCCTCCGGGGAGGGGGTGCCCATGCCAGCTCCCACCAGGCACAGGACCAAGCACGCCTCTCTGGTCACGTTCTAGGCCACCAAGCTCCTCTACGAGTCACGGGACCAGTAACTCCATGCAGGACGGACCGTCAACATGGAACCGCGGAGCCTGCTGTCCGCACGCACAGGCAACTAACCCTACACGTGCTGGGAAATGCAATTCAAGTGTTTGGAGAAACAGAAGTGCTTGCTTATCCAGTGCAATATGCACAGTTTATTAATGCTCTAAACAGCTTCAGGCTTTGGAGTTGGTATATTGTCTTGATACTTAACTGGAGGTGGGAGAGATTGCATTACACTACTGCTAAACTATTTTTAGCATTACTTAAACCACGTTTTTATGGATGCCCAGGTTTACTAGAAGGTTCGGGCCCCTCAGTGTTCACTCCTGCACCGCGATGACTTGGGCAGTGGTAACGCAGGCCTGCTGTGTGCGGGAGCCTGGCTCTAGGGCGCCACTTTCCCATCTGCCCGAGCCCGTTTATAGACTGTTCACTTGCCGCATCGCTAATTTGGGGCTACGAACAAACCTTTGATACTTCACTAAGGGGGAAGAGCCAGCTTTGCTTTTTGTACTTTTCACTTACTATTTCACTTTATTAAAATAATTGTACAACAATTTGTATATAAAGCTTATGATTAAAACCTATTTTGAAAATACGGATCAGTTCTGCCTCACTGTGTCCAGAGAACCCTGAGCTTTCATGCTGCAGCTCTGTTCTGGCTCCAAAACACAAGACTCGCAGCCGCCGGGGAGAGACAGACAGCGGTTTATTGTGCACGTTTACAGGGCGCAGCGGGGGGCCGCCGGCACCAGAGGCCGTCGCGGGGGCGCTCGCGTGTCGTCACCACACTGTACAATCGAAGCTTGAAGGTGACGAGCTACAGCAGCGGGTTCATACATAAATTATACACAGGACTCCTACATGGAAAATAAAGCCCAAAGTCCTGGCTTTTAATGAGAAAAAAAATTTTCCAGTATCATTCTGGTAGTTTTGAATGGTCTAGTCAAAAAATACTTTTGGTATAGAAAAGGCTGGACGTACAGTTCCAACTTGAGTCTGGACGGGGCAAAGGCTACTGCGTCATGGCTGGCCCCCACCCTCCGAGCAGGCACCCCCCCACCGTCTGCCCCAGCCCGGCCCACCTGAGCAGCAAGAGGCTGCAGGGAAGGCAGGGTGCTGGCTGGTGGCTCCTGATTCAGGGCCCCGGCGCCTGCACTGTGCCGGTCCAGCCCGGCACCACCAGCCTTATGTAGGTGACCTACACCAGTGCCCGGGACACACGCACCAAGCACCACCACTGACAGACGTTTCCATACGGAGGCCCCTTTGGTAGGGGAAGGAAGAGATGCACGTGGGGAGGGTGGGAAGGGCGGTGGGGTGCCAGGACTTCCAGTGACAGGGTGGGCTCGAGCAGGGGGCACACCTGACTGCGGTTGCAAGTTTTCAGTGTTGGGGTGGGGGTGACATCGAGAACGAGGGACGGCCTTGGGGCCAAGTCAGTAAGAGGGTTCGTCTTCATTGGCAACCAACCAGGGAAATTTCAGGGATTCTTACTGGCAACAGGGACAATTGTTTAGAAAGCTGGATATTTATTTGGATTTACAGTAATTGGCAAAATTCAGTCTTCTTGGAGGCAAAAGTACCTCTCCCAGTTATGGGCAAACTGAAGAAAGGGCCTCACCTAGAAACTGCAGGAATTTCACATTGTGGATGCTGTCTGCAGAAGTGAGCACCATTATAAACCATGTCTAGCTTCAGCTTTTCTGGACAAACAGCGGTCTCTCTGGTGGCTCCTCGGCTGGCAAGCCCGTGCAATGCTCCAAAGGGAAGTTCAGGCTAGCGTTCGCTGTCGGGGTTTGATCCGTGGATACAACTGGGAAGCAATGGGAACAGTCAGGACGAGGACACGGCATGCTGAACGGAAGGGGCGCCCAGAGGGCCACACGGCTGGCTGCCCTGCCAGGCTGACACTCGGCAGCCACCCACCATCTGAGGTCCCAACTCCCTCTACGAGTCGTACCCCACTGCAGGACAGCCTCTCCTAGCACCTGGCACCACCTAGAACCCGCACCGGTGGCTCTAAGGTGCCCTCTCCCCTCCAGGCCGGCATCTCTGGGTCTCGGCCTGGTTCACTTCGGCAGAACAAAAGCCGCATCCGCCAGCCCCGCCAGGTGTGTGGGAGGGGCACGAGGCACCTGCTCTGCTGAAGGGTGGAGGGCAGTTACAAACCCAACAGAGGGAGCAACCCGCACGCCCCCGACCCAGAGACGTGTCGGGACCACGGAATTGTGACGGGGTGGGGGTGGGGGCTGCTCGCCTAAGCTCCTGCATCAGGGTGCTTGGGGCTCCACAGCAAGCACCCCTGCAGCTCCCACGGAGTGAGCGCGGACCTGCCAGAGCCTCCTGCTACCTCTGCAAACTCGCCCACTCGCAGAGGCAGCGCTGAGGGTGGAGAATGGCCGTCTCCTACCACGGTCGCCCCGCAGGATCTGCCCCCACGCGGAGCCCCGGGCTGGGGAGAACAGGACGGGACCGCCGGACTGACAAGGCTGACCCCAGAGCAGCAAGCTCGCAGTGCTTACTTACCCCCAGCAGGTTCTTGGGCACGTAGCCCTCCCGGTCCCCAAGGCGAGCCCACCACCACTCGGTCTCACTCTCGTCCTTGCGCCGCAGGATGGTGATGGCATCCCCTTCGTGGAAAGACAGCTCATCGCTGTTCTGGGCCTCATAACCCCACAGAGCGTACACCACTCCTTTGTTCATCACGCCCAGCTTCTCCTGCACCCCTGGGATGAGACAGTAAGCACGCGGTCAGGGGGCCCTGTCCCCACCCCTTCTCTGCCCGGCAGGCGTCGTCAGGCTCCTGAAGTGCTGGGGCCGGAGACAAAGGTGTGCTGCTGGCCGAGGCTCCTTAAGGTCAACCTTACAAGTGCCACCTGGAACAGTTCCCAAAAGTCAACTAGCAAGCCACCTGACTGCTCCTGGGTGTGGGGAGCCCCCAACAGCGGCCGCAGCGCTCCGCGCCCCCACACCACAGCCACCAAGCCAGCTCCTGCCTGGAGTGACTGCGGGGACCCTAAGAGCCGGGGGGGGCGACGGCCTGGCTACTTCCCGCCACCCTCCTCCTGGCATGGCTGTCACTGTGACTGTGGCCTCGGGGAGCCGGGGGCCCGCTTCCATTTGTCATGGCACCCCCAGGGTCAAGGGCAGGGCTGGGCAGAGTTAGGTGCGGCGCGGACGACCCGCAGCTGTTTGACCCCTGGGGCAGAGGTGCTGTTCCAGCTCCCGAGGTCTGATCCCACGCAAGTGCCTTAATTCAACCAGAACGAGCCTCACTCCCCCAGCGGCACACGCCTCCTCGATGGTCACCACGGGACGGGGACGGGGCCCCCACCCGGCTGTGCTTCGCCCAGCCCCCCCGCCCCCCAGCTGCTCCAGCCAGGGGGCCCGCTGACGCAAAGAGGAGTTTGTTTCCAGAAATCTGGCACGAATCTTTCTGAGGACACGGATTTCCAAACATGCTCTTAGGAACGGGCCTGAGGGACAGCGTGACCTCCATTCCGATGAGACCGGGGCTGGGGGGCTGCTCCCTGCGCCGGCAGCCCCACGCACACATCCGCGCCGTGCCCGGCGGAGGGACCTGCGGCTCGGGCCGCCCGCGCCCACGTACCGTACAGGAATTGGGAGCACTGCATGTAGCCCTCCTCCATCTCCTCACACTTGTCCGCCGCAGTTTCAATGTCACTGATGGTGGAGGCAAAAATGGCGGCACCGCTCTCCACCAGCTGTTTGCAGAGGTGGACGCTGTTGCAAGAGGCGGCGCAGTGCAGCGGTGTCCTGCAACGGAGGGCGGGTGAGCGCGCCGCGAGGCGCTGCCCAGGCCGGCCGCGGGGCCCCACGGGCTTCGGGCTTGGTCTTTTTAATGGCCTGGTTTCTCCTCACCCAGTGTCTCAGACCACACACGCACTGCTGAACGGGCCGGGGCCCCAAGGGGCCCGAGCAGCAGCCCGCAGCGCGCCCCACGACAGCAGGAACGCACGGCCTGACGCCGCATGGGTCCCCGCGGGGCGGCGGCGCAAGGCGTTACGCGTATTTTGCCACAATGTAAAAGACCCAGACGTTCAAACCCCACAGACAGGTGCCTGAAGTTCACAACAAAATCTACAGGATCTGAGCTTCCTTTCCATACCGGTCACCCGACCATTTAAAACCAGGCGAAGAGGGGCGCCTGCGCGGCTCAGTCAGTTAAGCGTCTGCCTTCGGCTCAGGTCATGATCCCGGGGTCCCGGGATCGAGCCCCGCGTCGGGCTCCCTGCTCAGCGGGGAGTCTGCTTCTCCTTCTCCCTCTGCGCCCCCCCCAGCTTGTGCTCTCTTTAATAAATAAAATCTTTAAAAATACATAAAATAAAACCAAAGACTAAAAATTTGCCAAATGCGCAGCCCACACCATTAATAATCAGGTACGTGCAAAGCACGACGAGAGCTGTGCCTTCCCCCAGAGAACCCGGAGAGCTGGTGCGGGCGGCCGGACAAGGCAGCCTCGGGTAAGGTGCTGCACAAGCCCATGCTTTCCTGCCTCTGCGCCTTCCTGGGTCCTGACGGCTCGGGGCCACCTCCTCCTGTAGACCGAGCGCCCCGGGGACCCTCACCAGCCGTCGCTGTCGGCGGCGTTCACATTGACCCCGAAGTCCAGCAGGAACTTCACGATGTGGTGGTGGCCGGCGCAGACGGCGTTGTGTAGGGGGGTGATCCCTTCGTCGTTGGGCTTGCTAGGGTCTTCCACCTAAGGACACAGGGCGCTTGTGAACCCCACCTCCCAGCACACAGGGCAGCCCCGGCCTGCGGCTGCAGCTCAGCTCACCTCATAGATGATCCTTTGCACCAGGTCGAACTCTCCCTCCAGAGAAGCGTCTAGGAGCAGTGCCAGGGGATTGAACCGGACTCTCAGCCCGTGCCCCGTCCGCTCTGAGTTTGGTTTCTTCAGGTTGGTCCGTTTGCTCTGCCGAGAAGGAAGCACACTTTTGATTTAAAGGTCATGTGCCAACGCACCCAGCCCTGGTGGGAAGGAGGGACAGGGACGGAAGCTGGAGCTAATGCGTGCACCCAGCCATGCTGAGCAGCCCCTGGCATCAAGAGCAATGTCCACTCGCAGGGCCCCACCAGCGCGCCCTGGGGGAGAGCGGCTCAGGGGCTGGGCCCTGGCTCGTCAGAGCACCCCTGGTGGGGAGGGAAGTGGGTGACAGCCAAGCTCGGGAGTCAGCAACTCATTCCTACCAACTACAGCAGACTCCCACTTTCCCCTCTGCTCCAACACTGACCTCCCACCAGAGGGGCCTGTCTACAAGGTTCCTCTCGTGGCCTGCCCTTCAAATTCCAGCGCAGCTTCCCTTCCTGGGGGAATCTGACTGGGTCCTCGGTGAAAGCTCCGCGGGCCCAGGCACTTCTCTAGAGCCCCATCTGTGTACTGCCATGCTCTCCTCCCCTCGGCCTCAGGGGCGGCAGGGACGAGGGCCAGGTAAGCCCCACCGCCCCCAGCACTGTGGCTGACACAGGCAGGTGCTCTACAAATACTGGCTGGCTGCCTCGGAAGCCGTGGCCCTGGTCTAGGACGACACCCACCGTAGAGGCTCCTGGTGGGGGCACAGCGGGGGGCAGTGCTGGGGGGGCTTGGTCTTCCCCTGGTGAGGGGGCCTCGGCCCCAGGGCTGGGGACCTGCTCTGTGGATGGGGCTGTGGCCACGTTGTTGTTGTCATCCTCGGCAGGCTCAGCTGTTTGGTGGGTGCTCTGGGGACAGATGAGGCCCTCCGGTTCAGGGGAAGGGAGCTCGTTGTCATTGGCGTCCGAAGACGGGGCAGGCTCAGCGGGGAGCGGGGCTGTGGGCCGGGCAGGGCTGGCCTCTCCCAGGTTCCCGTTGGTGGTGTTTCCATTGTCCACGTCGGCCAGCGTGCCCATGAAGTCCTGTGAGGGGCTGGGCTGGTAGAAAGGGGTGCCCTCCATGCCCCCCGCCAGGGTGTTGAAGCGCTGGTACAGCAGCTTCTGGATGTTGGGCCCGCCGGGGCCCTCGGGCTCCGTGATGGAGCTGCGCTTCTTCAGGGGCCGCGGCGCGTTGGCCAGCTTCCGGCGCAGGGCCTCTAGGTCGGCGTCACTCTGGTAGCGCAGCGGCGAGTGCACGATGGGTGTGAGCTTGGTGGGGCTGAGCGGCCGCGGCAGGCTCTCCACGGTGCCCGAGCTGGTGCCGCCGTCTCCGGGGGCGGCTGGGCTGTCCTGCTCGGGCTCTTTCTCGATGCTTTCTGAAGGTGGCTGGGGCTGCGACGTGCTTGGGGCCAGCGCCCCGTGAAGAAACGGCAGCGGCGACGGGGACGTTGAGCCGGAGGGCAACACGGGTTTGCCGTACACTGGAGGAGACACAGAGGACGGGGGGCAACGGAGTCCTGTCACTGCATGGCTGTGGCTGAGGCCGACTCTTCAATCCCCCAGGAGCCCTCTGATAAAAGACGCCCCCTCCCTGCTGACTCCCTTTGGAAGACAGAGTGTCTCTCTCACCGGTTTTTACATTTGGACTTCCAGAGTCTGGGCTTTTTCAAATGAAAAAAAAAAAATAAAGTGGTTACAGACCCGACCTCCCCACCCCAAACAAACCCTCCTTGTTTTCTGGCCAAGGAGGAAGACACCATCTCTAAATAGCATCTGACCCTCAGGCTCAGTCTCGCGCTGTGGAACATAGGCCGCCTCAGACAGGAAGGCTCTGCCCGCCGGCCCAGGAGCTGTCGAGAACGGGGCCAGAGCCCTGCCACAGGGTGAGCAGGGAGCTTCCGCTGGGGCTCGGGGTGGCTGGGCACTCCCAGGAGTCTGGAAGCTGCGGCACACACCCAAGAATGTGTGAGGAGGCCCTAGCCCAGCTCTGACCCACAGGACCCTGCTGTGCAGGTCACAGTCATTACCTGCCCCGGGATGTATGAGCCCAAGCTCTGTTCTCTCACCTGCATCCCCAGGACATGTCAGCTCCTAGGGCTCATTGCCCCTCACCACGCCAGGGCTCTTCTCCCCTGCGGGCACGGGGGTAGGCTACCCCGGCACCAGACACACCCTTGCCTCCCGTCCAGGGGCTTGGCTCAGCCTCTGCCAGGTGGCCAGGAGGACCACATCCGGGCAGAGCCCTGCCCTTGGAAAGCTTCTGCATACGTTTCCGCAAAGCAGGAGACAAAGAGGAAATTCTGGGAGCTGGGCTTCCCAAGTACCACAGGGAGGCAGGTGCTTAGACATGAAGGGAGAGCTTCCTATGTGAGCCTGCTGCAAAACCGCTCCATGCATGTCACCTTTTACCCCAATCCCATGTGGACATCTAAGGCCACACTGTACGTAAGAATCAAAGTTTTAATCCTAAATTAAATAGTGCGTGGTCCACATAGAAGGCTCCAGATTGGCATTTTAAGTAAACGTATAATTTGTTAGCCCCAAGACAAGAGTACGAACCCACCATACCTGCTTTAACAGACTTATTTAAGGTGCTGTGCACTGCTGGCTGGTAATTCTTAGGAGGTGCGGCTTGCTGGAGGTACATGGAGTATATGGAACTTGAATTCACTGTCTGGGGTCCTTTCCTGGGGGACTGTGGCCTCGACCCTTTATCAGCCAGAAAGGGCCTAATGGCCACAGTCAGCGGGAGTTCAGGCTTGCTATCTCCAGCTGGGAATGCAGGGGGCCCTGCTGGTGGGTACGTGGGACTTGGAGGCACAGAAATCCTCTGCTGAATCTGCTGTGAGGAACCTGGCGGGTGGCTGCTGGCCGTGGGGGGCAGTGGGGTAGGTTTCTGCCGACTGGGCAGGCCGGCGCTGGGCCTGGGCAAGCTGCCTTCCTTCCTCCTCTCCAGGGAGTTTGTGGAGCCCGGGCCCACGGGTGCAGGACTTGGGTACGTGCCGTAGCTCGGAGGCAGCTGCTTGCCGACACCAGGGATGGGGGGTGGCACTTTACCCATCTCCACGCCCTAAATTTAGATGTTAAGAAGAAAAAGTCACCCTTTGAAAAGTTAAGCATATTTCTATTCATAGTCACAAGAGAATACAAAGTAGGACTTGTAATCCTTCCAATCAGCACGTGGCCAGGCACAGGACACGCTGTGCGAATCAAAGGTGGCAGGCCCGTTGCCCACCAGCAGCAGATCAACTCTGACACATTTACACCGGCGTGCCGCTCAGGGACTCGGGGTCCATGAACGTCTTCAGACTTGGTCATACTTAGACACTCACAGGATGAATTTGCCTCATGAAACCTCTCACCCCTTACATGAAAATGAAGGCTCAAGAGTGACACAGTGAGGATCTTGTTGGTGTTTTGTGATAAAGATAAATGGCCTACCAGCTTCTCCGTGGCTCCTAAAGTTGACAAGGGCGTTGGCTGGCTGGAGACGGTCCCCTGCTTGAGAGGACCCTCCATGCTTGAGTCCTTCCAGTCCACACCAGTGGGCTTCACTGAAGAGTTGGAATTTTGTTTCAATGTCGGCCAGTTGCCATCATTGGCTTGAAAAGAACACAGAATTTGAGTAAAATGTTTCCTGAAATTAGTTGAACCAACCTAAGAATAACCCCTTGTGAGAAGCAAAGATCACCTTCTGGGAGATCACATCGGCTGGGGAATCCACGAACCAGGCGGCCGACCACCCCCTCCCCACACACAGGCCAGCACCCAGCAAGCCCGAGGGTGGTATGCGCTGGCAAGGCATCGCTCTCACGTGTACGGAGACTCGATGACTGCGCACGGGGCTGCTGCGACCCAGGCGAGGGGCCAGGGGACCATGGAAACCTTCCCAGGCCCCCATCTAAATAAAGGTCAAATCCACTACATCAACACCAATAAATAAAATAAGCATCGGCACTTAACTTTTCAAACATAACACCAATTACATAGAGCAATTAAAAAAATCTGTCTTTTGACTTCATAACAGGTTTGACTTGTACTACTTGCACGGTAAAAGAAAAATTTGACTTTAATCTGTTAGAATAATTCAAGATCACAAGAGGCCAGTACAAGTTCCCACTGATTGGAATAGCAAGCTATTATTCTTGTTGCAGTGATTAGAAAGCTAGTCGAACCCATGTTTTTAGGAAAGCCACTGAAAAGATTTTTTTTTTTTTTCAACAATGCATTTTCCAAACTGAGAAAGGGTGCAGAAGCAATCCCTCCTAGCAGTCACAGTGACATAAATAAGTTACAGCATCTGCAGGGGTCGGGTTATAGCCTCTGACTCAGGCTCCCGCTCCTCCCGACCACAGACACCGGTGAGGGACTGGACCCAAGTGGGGCAGACCCCCCTATCAGCCACATGAATGGAACAGAAATCAGAAGGGACTGTTTGGGGCCCTTCTGATGGGAACAGCACCTCCCTTTCCTCACTCCACCAGCCAGCACGAGCAGTTGGGGAGAACTGAGAAGCAGCAGGGAAATCACTCTTCCTCAGGACAACAGTGCTTGCGAAAAGAGCTGTGACCCGTGAGACGGGGAGTAAACGCTCACATGTGCTCTGAGCACAAGCGCAGAAGGTGCCTCTCGTGCAGTGAGGGGGGCAGAGCCTCAGGGCCCCGTGGGGCCCTGTCAGGGACAGCCTCCTGTGGCTCCAGGCTGCAGGGTCCAGGACGGTTCCAGCCAGGCTGCAAGGACGCTGGTGAGGCATTCCAAGGCCCCAGTCCAAACCACCACCTTGCTCTGTGTGACCGGTCAGCCTCTTCCAGGCATGTGCCTTCACGTCCCCTTGGTTGTATCTTAGGTGTGGGGGGTATGTGTGGGCCAGAAGCACACACAAGGTCACCAAGGATACAGGGCGATGGCCACAATGGGCTGATTGGGAAACAAACAGCGCCCCGGCGGACTCGGAAGGGAGGGAGGGAAGGAGGGAGGGAGGGAGGGAGGGGCCGGTCTCAAGAAGTGTGGTCAGCCAGCCGCTTCTGAAATCCACAGCGATGGGAGGTTTTATGGAAATCAGCCACAAAGGGACTGAAGACGGAACTGGGAATTTCCTTCTTCAGGATGAGGCAGGGGGTGCAGAAGGAAGATCATTTATTTTCATTATAAAGAATTATAAAGGGACAGTAATCTTCAAGTATGATGGGAGGTTCTTGTATAGGAGCTAAATCTAAAGTCTTTAATGAACTCAGAAAATCATCTTAATTTCTCAAAAACGAAACCAAAAACCCCTTGCTGTGCCAGCATCTGTCAAACCCTTCCTGAGGAGGAGCTGGTGTGTGTGGCCCAGCCCAAACTTCACACCTGTCTGTTGAAGGAAGTGTGGCATTTTTTTCAAGCCTAGATGGGATGAGCAGACCTTTGTCAGTTTGGAAAACAAATGATTGCTGGGTTAGCAGTATCAGAGAGGGCCAGAGCGCCCCACCGGGCCTGCCAGCTGACATACGGTTTGCAAACGGGTTTGCAGAGCGCCCTGAGGAGCTGCAGTCAGGCCCGACGTCAAGGTCTGACACTGTCCACAAGCTGGTCACTTTGGGCTTCCCACGGCCATCTGTGTGACACGGAACCAGAAGGACAGTCGACAGTGTAAGTCAGAGTCCCCACGGGGAGATTTCTCCTCCCAGCTCCACGCCGGGGCCAAGATTCTGCCCCCAGTGTGGGGGGCACAGCTTGCTTGTGTCCAGTCACCTTGCATGGTGGTGGAAAGACCTAGGCTGCAGTTGAACTTCTGTGGGACACATTCTCTGGGTCCTGTAAGGGTGTCTTCTCCCAGCGACCCCTGTGAGGCGGCCCAGCACACACCCACAGAGAAGAGGGGAGATGTCCTCGGCCCAGGAAGTGTTTGAAGTGAAGTCAGCAGAAGAGGACTGGCTGTGCTAATTACCTGCCACTGGAAACAGGCAAGTATCTACTCCCACTGTAGGGTGGTTCAAGCTATAAATAACAGCTTCCCTAAGAAAGCTGCCCTTGGAGATTCGCACCAAGCACACGCTCTGGGTGGCTGCCACGACATGGCCGTGGACGGAGCGGAGCCCAGGTGTGTGGCCTATCCTGCCTGGGTCAGAACCAACCCCGCACCCCCCAGCAGGTGTGGCAGACCTGCTGCTGCTCAGACCAGGTGCTGGGTAAGAGCCCACGAGCAAACAGAAGCCTGCACAGATCTATCACCAGTCCTGACATCAGCCCTCAGCAGAGCCCAGCTCAGTGTCCTAAGGGAAGGGACGCCGTCCTGTCGGTACCGCGCTCCGGGATTCCGTGTGCCGTGGGGAAATGCGGCAGCCCAGCAGCAAGAAAAGTCTTACGGCAGAGAAGCGCTGCCTTCTCAATGTTTAGAAAACAGCCGCCTTCTTCTGAGAAAGGAGAGCAGACTCTCACTGGAGAGCCTGACCTGCCCTTGGTCGGGAAGCATCCCATCAGGAGAGCTACACGCCAGCCCGGTGCTGGTCACACCACACGGTTCGGCGCGGCTGAGGGCCACCGCCACGCTCTATCGACCTGTGCATCGATTACGACCAGCCGGGTGGGGAAAGGGAAGACCGGCCCTCGTGCACTGTTTCCGGACAGGCCGCCCCTCTGCCTGGGGGGGGGGCAGCAGGCTCGAGTGCCCTCACGGGGAAACAAAACCCGTGGTACGAGAGGATCTGGCCTTAAGTAATTTGTGTTTTGAAAAGCACACAGTAAAGACGTTCAGCTCAATAAAGAGAATCTGTCCTCACTTTAGGGTCATATTATTACTGTGGTGGCACACATGTCCCAAACTAGCCAGAAGACAAAGTTCCTCGGGGGAGACAGAGGGTGGGCAGAGCCTGGGGTGCTGTGGGGGACTCCTCCGAGGCTGCTGACCTCCATGGCTCTCCCCCAAGACGAGGACCCGGGCCACTCACCAGATTTGGATCTTCCATGGGCAGCACTCGAGGCAATAGTAAGAGACTGGGGCTTTATGGGGTCCCCTGGGACAGAGTAGCTGCCAGCGCTGGGCACCTGGATGTAAGGCCCCACCGCAGCAACCCTGCCAGGGGTGCTCAGCGGTGACTGCGGGGACGACGTGCCATTCACACGGCTCAGCTATAGAACGGGAAGAAATGAGAGTTAAGGTTCTAAATGAAAAGAAATCACAAACCTAGTGTGACAGTCTACTCTCATGTGAACCACTCACTAGATCATGTGCCCTTAAGAAGCTCCATCATCCTGAAAAATCAGTATCTAGAAAGGGCAAGCATTGAAAGAAAGGCCACGACCAACAGCCCCGTATGAGTGATTCTCTTTGACATCTCCTACCCACCTGTGAGCGAGGAGAGACAGGAGCTGACGGCAGAACCGAACAGCTTCCCAGGACCCCTCCACGAAGCCCTCTTCCCTAGGGGATGCCCTCCCTCCCCTAGGTGGGCAGAGGCGTTGGTCAAAGCCTGGGCTCTGAGCCTGGCTTCAAATCCTGCTTTGCAACACTTACTCACCGTGCTGCCCTGGGCAAGTGCAAGTGACTTAGTCTCTCTAAACCTCTGTGCCCGTGGGTGGAAAGTCATGATATGGCTTCTTGTAAGGACCGAACAAGCCATGCCGGCTCTGGTCAGCCCTGAAGACAGCTCTGCTCTTCTCAGCAAGGACAGCACACTACAGCCAACGACAGTGATCACCTGATGCTGCCCAACACGAGGGTCCATAACAGGGATCTAACTGGAGAATCACTGACACCTTAGGGGCCCTGAGATAGGCTGTGAGAGATCCATAACCTCTTACAATTGTTTGCAGAATTCTGCATACATGAGCATGTATCATTTTGGGGACAGGGTCCAGGACTTTCACAACTGCCCACAGGTGCCTAGGACCTTTAGATGGAGACACATTTATGCAGAGGCACCAATTTCTTCAAGATCACCTGAAGTACCAGGTGGAAGGCAAGAAGGAACATCTACCTAGCTATCTGTGATGCTTAATTTTGTGTGTCAACTTGGTGAGGCCATGGTACCCAGATATTTGGTCAAACGTGTCTGGAGGCTGCCATGCAGGTATGTTTTAGATGAGACTGACATTTAAATCAACAGACTCTGAATGATGCAGACCGCCCTCCATAATGCAGGCAGGCTGCCTGCCATCGGTGGAAGGACTTGAGAGACAAAGACTGAGGTGCCTGGACAAAGAGGGAGGTGGGCCTGCAGACGACCTGCCGACGGGAGCAGTGGCATCCACAGTCCCCCGTGTGTCCAGGCTGCAGATTTCAGGTGTGCAGCCTCCACAATCATGCCCGTCACTTCAAGTCAATCTATGCATCAGTCAATCACTCTCCACATACGCCCTCGTTCTATTTCCCCAGAGAGCCCGAATGACGGAGCACAACTAGAGAGTGCTGGGTGAGCAAGCATGGAGAGCACGTACACTTCCTCTCCCACGGTCTCCGTGTTGCTCATTGAGAGAAGAAAGGAAAACGATTATTTGAAAACACAGAGTTATCCAGATTAGCCACTGACCCTCTGGTTAAGAAGGACAAGAACAGACCGATTTGTAAATAAGAGCTGTCACCTGCTACCACCGAGGACACTCCAACAAGGGGCAGGCGCCGCCTGACCGCCCCCCGCCCCAGCCAAGCCCCAGACGCCCACACTCGCCTCCCGAGAGCTGCCTTCAGTACGGCAGCAGCTGACAAGAGGCCACTTGTCACACTGGGAAAGCACTAATTACGGAGAGTGGATGAGGGCACTTGGGGAGCAGCGTCCCGGCGAGCTGACGGCCCGCTCTTTTCACTCAAGCTCCGCATGCAGGCACTGCTTCCTTCAAACCCTGATGCCACCCGTGGAAGGCAGGCCAGGTGCCACATCCAGCCAGACTCGGTGCACAGGGGTCCCTTCTCCCACAGGCTCTTGGGATGCTTGTGCTCACTGAAGTGCCAAGAGCAATGGCAGGACTTGGGGGCACCCGGCCTGGCAAGGGGGTTGGGGAAAGGGGCCACAGGCCCTGGGACATGCGTGTTCTACCAAAGCTTCAAAAGGAGCGAAGTAATGACCCGGGAAGATACCCATGTTGCAGTTAAAACAAAAGATGAGGAGAACAGTGTGAATGATACCATTGTTACAGTTTCATTTTCAATGAAAAATTAAAATACTTTGTTGTCTGTATTAAGCAAAAGACTGGAATCATTAAAATTATCATCCTTGGAGAATGAGAACAGGGTGAAAGGGACTTTCACACTTTCCTTCAAGTGTTTCTGTACTGTTTTAATTTTTCAGAGTATTTATTACCTTTGAAAGTCAAAATAGCAAATAAAGGTTTTTAAAAAGCACTAACCCTCAGTTTATTTCTGCTGATTAAGAGTGTCTCATGGTTTGTCTCCCTCTCTGGTTTTGTCTTGTTTCATTTTCTTCTTCTCTTCCTCTATGATCCTCTGTCTTGTTTCTTACATTCCCCATATCAGTGAGATCTTATGATAACTGTCTTTCTCTGATTGACTTATTTTGCTTAACAAACTGAGGGTTGCTGGAGGGGAGGGGAACGGAGGGATGAGGTAATTGGGTGATGGACATTGGGGAGAGTACGTGTTGTAATGAGCACTGGGTATTATATAAGACTGATGAATCACAGACCTATACCCCAAAACAAATAATACACTATATGTTAATTAACTGAAATTAAAAAAAAAAAAAAAAGCACTAACCCTTTACATGGCACTTTGCTTGAAAGTTTACAAAGCCCTTCCACATGGGTTATCCTAAGAATCCACATGATGACTGTTGGGGCAGACAGGACATACCAATTGACAGCAAGGACATGCGTCTGCACACAGGTCAGGGAATGTGCCCACGTGGCCCAGCTTACAGGGGCAGAGTGGGACCAAGCCGGGCGTTGCGACGCCAGAGCCAGAGCCTTCCCCAGGGAGGGGACAGAACTGCACGGGAGTTGGGGGGTGGTCAGGGAACATCAGCTGTGGCTGTGGACAGGGATGGTTTGCATTCCATCCACCAGGAAACAAATGTGGCTTTGGAAAGAGAGCTTTTTGTTACTGTCATTTTTTTTTATGGTTTTTACGGTTTATGGCCAATGTATGTTTCATCAACTGTGGCAAATGGGGGGAGCAAAATGCCATTATAGTGAAGCTGTGCAATTGCATGCTGAATCATTTTTAGTTTCTCTCACACAACTATTTTCTTTCTCACATGCCTGAATTTTCTTCCCATAGAGACGTTCACGCAGCTCATTGATCCGCTTGTCCATCACGGCCACCTCCATGTTGCGTTTATTCAAGAGTTCCTTCTGCTGCTGGAGCTTTGAAGTCTGTTCCTGGTTAAGCTGGTTACGAATCTGCAAATTAAAAAATACAACTTTTATGATTTGCATTAAACAAATGCTCATTTCCAGGGAAAGTAAAAAAAAGAAAAAAGTAGTATCAAGTACTTATGCGTGTTTATATAAATGCATTGTCACCCACGCACTGAATAGTTTACAGGTACAGCATGGATGAGGCCAGAACAGAGTTCTTCTACATCTGCAAACACACACATTCTTCAGAGCATCTGGAGTGACTGTGCGAGTGATGACTGTGAGAGACCACGACTATGGCCCCTGGGAATGGCGTGTCACAGACACCCGCCTGGAGCACGTCCTCTAGGGACCCGAGCACACGTGTCCGCCCCACATAGTCCACTGAACGAGCACCTTATGTGGAGACAGTACGGAACTCACGATGGATGGCCTCGCTCGCCCACTGGAACGTACGGGTATCATGCTAGTGGGCTGTAGCCAGCACTTAAAAAAATGACCCACAGAAGGCGCCAGTGGGCACCGTACACACGAGGTTAAGTCTTGTCAGGCTCTCCCAGGTGCACACGTGTGCTAGGAACACACACTTGCACGCGTGCACCAGACAGGAGGCAACATGCACCGTGAGGTCTAGACCACAGTCAGGAAGCTTGGGTATGGGTATATAGGGGTAAATATACCACATTCATCACCCAAATATCCTTAAGAGCTCTGCACTTTTAACAACTGCTTAAAGCGTACAAGAAGTCTTAAGTTCTTTTATTTCTATGCATTTATGTTAGAGAACTTAACAGCAACAAAAGCAATTTTATTCTCTGTAATTAAATATTTTCATTTCATAAAATGATATAAAAATATTTCTGGCAAGTGCTAACAGAACTGCAAAACTTGTTTCTGGCTTGAAAAATCACCTGCTGAATGGTAACTTCTGGGAAATGGAAATCCTGAGGGCTGTTCTGGACTGAATGTTTGTGTCCTCCCTGAAATCCGTATGTTGCCCTAAACTTTAAGGTGCTGGTATCGGGAGGTGGGGCCTTTGGGGTGATTAGGCTAAGATGAGGTACTGGGGGTAGGGCCCCCATGATGGGGTTAGTGCCCTTGTAAGAAGAAGGAGACCGAGCTGTGGGGACACAGCCAGAAGCCAGAAAGCAGACTCTCACCAGGAACCCAGGCTTGGGACTCCCAGCCCCTGGAGATGTGAGAAAACAACATCTGTGCTTCAGTCCCCTGGGCTGTGGAGGTCTGTTAGCGCAGCCCCAGCAGAGTGGGACAGAGGATGTAACAACAGGCATCTAGCTCATCAAAACAACAGTGTACACAGAAACCCTGAATATCATCTAAAGCTTAATTTTTTCCTAGTTCATTACATTGCCAATTAGATTCTGTACTGAATTTCTGTACCCAAAACACGCTAGGTGAAAGATGCCAGTCACAAAAAATGACATATTGCAAGATCTGCTCATATGAAATTTCCAGAATAGGCAAAGCCAGAGAGACAGAAGTAGATTCATGGTTGCTTAGGGGTGGGGGTGGGGGGTGACGGCAAAGAGGCACGTGGCTTCTTTTGGGGGTGAAGATGTTCTAAAGTTAATCGTGGTGGTGGATGCACAACTCTATGAAGATACTAAAAACCACTTAATTGTACATGTTATATGGATGAATTGTATGCTCTATGAATTATATCTCAAAACTGTTTTAAAAATTCTTTGGGCTGAGTACAGTTTGTGCCTACTATTACCCTAGGATCCATTCACTTGTTTCCAGTTTCCGAGGCTTCCGCCCACGCTGGGAAGAAAGCCTGAGAGATGTTTCACGTCACGGTCCCTGGACCCAGCGAGTCACCTGTAGCTCCTGGCACAGTCTCTTCAACTCTGCCGCTGCCGGCCCCGCCAGCTTGCCACTGCACGACTGCAGCCCGCTCAGCTTGCCTCTCTTTAAATCTTCCAGTTGCTGACTGAGCTGATCAACTCGTAAAATCGCAGTCTGTACTTCTTGCTTCTTTTCCTGGAACATGGCGCTGAACCTTTCTATTTCAGCAGCTATAATTTCCCAGCAATAAAGAAAAAAACATCATTTAGTTGATACTCTTTTTTCCGTGGTATTTTGTTATTTTGGCTTTGTGATTTCGTCTTCATTTCTATACATTCAACTCGGCTCTAACATCATCTAGTGCCAGACCTTGCGGGGAGAACTGTGATACGTATAATCCAACACACTTTTCAACAAGCCTCTGGAACACATGATGTGACGGTCCACATGGCAAACTCTATGTGCACTAACTACTGAATATGGTTTAGTTAGGGCAACCCGTCCAAAGGCTAGCTTGGCCAGGCCACTTAGGAATCTCGGGGCACCCACAGAGCAAAGGCTTTGTAAGGGCAGGAATCCAAGTCTGTCTTGCTTGTCAACAGAACACAAAGTAGACTCTAACTGAATTGATAATAAAACAAAGAATCCACACACACAAAAATAAAAAGTGAGCATTTGTATAGTTTATCTTACTACCCAGAAGAAGTTTAAGCTGTTCAATTAAAACAGACCCTCATAATGAGCACAGTCTTGTAGCCCTGCAGCCCCAGTCCAGAGCGCAGCTAATAAATTACAGATGTAACCAAGGACCTTCCCAGACCATTTAACCTAACTGACCCCGTCCTTTTAGATGCAGGTAACAAAGCAAAACTTCAGTGCACTTCCTATAGCAAGATCTGACACGGGTCTGTGTGAAAGTGTCCGGAGCTGGACTCTTTCATTTTATCCATGCCCGAGTGTGGGTGCTGAGCAAGGCCGCGCAAGCGTACACAGATTGCCGTTCATAATTTTGCTGTAGTCTACTTGTCCTCTCATGGCACGAATTTTCTTCAGCTTATTTTCCTGGGCTTCGACTCGTTCTTTCAATTTCTGAAGCTTCTCATTCTCAGAAATAGACTGCTGCTGGCGGCGTTCCTGCTGCTTTAGGAAATGTAAACGCTGCTCCTAGCAAAAGAGGGAAACAGGCAACGGCAAGAACTGAAGCACATAATCACAGTCACACATGAAAAAGGTTTGGGTGGCCCCCACAAGATCACCCACCTTAATATCAGAGAAATGCTTGTGCCATCTTGCCAACACCAGCCCACACAGAACTGACATTACTGGGCACACATCGGTGAGCGGTGGTAAGAGGCTGAAGATGTTTTACAGCGCTCACCATAAGACGTTTCCAGGTGCATTTTACTATGCACACTGACCTACACTGCTCGGTTAATACAGACACTTCCTCAGAACATCTCCCAGCAGGAGAATGTCAGGCCTGCGCATCCCATGCACTCACACAATCTCCTCTCTTTCCTGTCTGGGAAACCACGTCCAGTCCTCATCTCCCGCTGTCAGGTCAACATTTCCTGCTGCCACAAAGCTGCTTCCCAAGGTCCTCTAGTTATTTTTTTTTTTTTTCTCCCATGCCCCTAGTTACCTCTTAAAGGAAATGGGCACTGATGAGCAGAGGTCTTATATCGAAAACGGACAAGGTGATCGGTAAGAAAATAAACCTTTAATTTGCTAAGTTAACAATGGACAGTCAAGAAGTGCTTGTTTCTTTTAGGGATAGGTTCTTCAAAATTAATGAAACATTCTACAGTCAAATAGGAACAAGACAGTCCTAAAATAAAAATATGTGCAATACTCTTCAATAGTCATTTCCCTATTTCCCTACAAAGACACACTTTGAGGGTAACAGCTGACATGAAATACTCATGGTCCTACACGTATGCATAAAATAGACCTAAGTAAGGAGGAGACTAAATGTGATGATGCAGGAGTCACATGTTGCATTCTAAAGTCAGGAAACATGCACTTGAATATGTAAAGCATATGTGTTAGCATTAACTTGTAATTTGCACTGCTGAAAATACCCAAGAATCTTTTTATTAGTAATACTCTTGGATCAATATTTGGAAAGGAAATAAAAAGCCGAACTAGAAAATGCTATAATTGCATAATACTATGTACATTTCATCTTAGAAATCTCATTAATGGGAGGAAATACTTCCCAATTACTTAACTCTTATTTTTTATTCTTGTAAATCCAATAAACTTCGCAAGACAACTTCTAAAAACAAGTCCAATTTATGCTGTTACATACCCACAAAGTGGCGGCTAGTACCATGAATTATATGGCCCCTTGATAGTGAGAAAAGTGGGGTTGGACATTTGGCTATCAGGTCAATCTCTCTATGAGAAAGCAACAAGAACCCAGGCAGAAATGTTTACATGTTCTCTTTATATTGCAGTTTTTCATAGCAGTTTCATAACATTCGAGATCATTGCAACATGAATATTCTCCAGCACGCATTGAGTGATAGGTCTGATTTTTTTCAGTCTGTGACAAGAAAAATGTCAAATCTTGTTACAGCATTTCAATGACAAATGCAGAACTCGGTGTATATAAAAAGCATTAACTGCCCGGCATTGTAAGAAACCAAACAAACTCTGTGTAGAGTGGCACAAAGGGAAGCCTGGATAACCAACTGTCATTGTCTCAGGGGCCCATGACCAGTGTCTTCATCCAAATTTTACCTCCAGTTGGCGAACGAAGGTCAACCATTTCCTATTCTGGAGTGTCTGAATGTGCATGTGAAGGGTCTTGCTCTGACCCCTTCCCAACTTTAAGAAGCTACAGTATTCATTTACCAGAAAGACATTGTGTTCAACACTTCCCATGACATGGTCCTACTTACAAATGGTACTCATGAATGCAGTAACTCCAATCTAAAATAACCATTAAAGAACACCCTTTTTGAACATTTTCCCACCTCTGCTTTTATAACTCACCTTGGCAACCAACATTTGCTGCTGATTTTCAATTTGCTGTTGTTGCCTAGCTGCCATATCCTGGAGCTCGGAGAGGGTAAGTTCTACACGTGGATTTCCAACCTACAGGGAACAAAACACACTCAGGCTGGAATGTAGGTTTATCTGCGTATCTGCACAATCGTTTTTCTCTAGTGTCAGAACACATACACATCAGGATCTTAAAATAGCTTCTTTTCTAGAAGTTAGGATAATACAAATTAATTGTTTGTACAGAAGAACTTTTCTTTCTTGTTGACAGCTTTTATTAAGTAAAAGGTTTTTAAATATGCCACATACTATATTAAAAAGGGACCCAACTTGTGGGAATGCAAACTGCTGCAGCCACTGTGGAAAACAGTATGGAGTTTCCTCAAAAAATTAAAAATAGAATTACCATTGGGGTGCCTGGATGGCTCAGTCAGTTAAGTGTCCAACTCTTGATTTCCACTCAGGTCATGATCTCAAGGTTGTGAGATCGAGCCTTGCATCAGGCTCTGTGCTAAGTGTGGAGCGTACTTAAGATTTTCCCTCTCTGGCAACCCCTTTGGGTCCCCTCTCTCCTTGGGAGCTCTGTACTGTCACTTTGCTACTGCTCAATAAACCTTGCTTTGCTGCCCACCAAGAAAAATAAATAAAAAATAAAAAGATTTTCCCTCTCCCTCTGCCCCTCCCCGCCCCCATCTTGCGCTCTCTTTCTAAAAAAAAATAAATAAAAACAGAATTGCCAAACAATTAAAAAAAAAAATTAAAAAAACAGAATTACCATATGATCCAGTAATTCTGCTACTGGCTATTTACCCAAAGAATATGAAAGCACTAATTCAAAAAGATATATTGACCCCTATGTTTACAGCAGCATTATTACAATAGCCAAGATATAGAAATGGCCCAAATGTCCACTGATAGATCAACGCATAAAAATGTAGTAATACATAATGGAATATTACTCAGCCATAAAAAAGGAAACCTTGCCATTTGCAACAACATGGATGGAGCTAGAGAACATAATGCTAAGTAAAGTAAGTCAGAGAAAGACAAATATCATATGATTTCACTCATACGTGGAATTTAAGAAACAAAAGAGCAAAGAAAAAAAAGAGACAAACCAAAAAAGACTTTTTTTTTTTTAAGATTTTATTTGAGAGTGAGTGAGAGAGAAACAGCATGAGAGGGGAGAGGGTCAGAGGCAGAAGCAGGCTCCCCACTGAGCCGGGAGCCCGATGTGGGACTCGATCCCAGGACTCCGGGATCATGACCTGAGCCGAAGGCAGTCACTTAACCAACTGAGCCACCCAGGCGCCCCAAAAACAGACTCTTAACTATACAGAATAAATGGTGGTTACCAGAGGGGAGACGGTAAACAGGTGATGGGGATTAAGAGTACACTTATTCTGATGAACACTGGGTTATGGAGAGAATTGTTGAATCCTTATGTCATATACCTAAAACTAATAATAACACTGTTAACTGTACTGGAATTTTTTAAAAAGGGGGCCCAACTTTAAGCAAACTTTTGCAAATGTGTATTAAAAATGACATTCCTGGGGCGCTTGGGTGGCTCAGTCGTTAAGGGACTGCCTTCGGCTCGGGTCATGATCCCAGGGTCCTGGGATCGAGCCCCGCATCAGGCTCCCTGCTCCATGGGAAGCCTGCTTCTCCCTCTCCCACTCCCCCTGCTTGTGTTCCCTCTCTCACTGTGTCTCTCTCTGTCAAATAAATAAATAAAATCTTTAAAAATAAATAAATAGAAATGACATTCCTCTTTTCGGACTGGTTATTTAAGGGTATATTTGAATAAATGGGGATGTCAAATGTTTTGAGGATACACAACCTAAAAAGTGTGTAGGTGACACTTGAGGACAAATGTCATCTTCACTGCCACCTGGTCTTGAGAAGCTGAAATACATAGAAGATTCTAAAAATACAAATACCTCATTAAAAACACCATATATACGGCTTAAACCAAGGACTGACCCGTTATCGACAGAATTGTATCTGTGAAATGAATACAAAAGAGTAAGATCTAGAGGAGAGGCAACTGATGGAACTGGAAGGCATGTCCCTGTCCTCTGTTAACGATGATAATAACATCAGGCGTTTTTATTGTACTTATCATGTGTCGTGCGCTGGACTAGGTACCTTCCATTAATGAACCCATCTGAGCCTCACAGGGACACTCTCAGGTAAGTACTACTGTACCCCCATCCTAGACATGAGAAAACAAGCAAAGAGAAGTTCACACAACCTGCCACAGATCAGACAGCCCACGTGGCAAAGCAGGACACAGTCCTTGTTTTCCACCAACAGTGTAACACGCTCCTCTTTACCACACACACTACCTGCTTATAACTACCCATGTTACATGCACTGTATGACCCAGTCTTTCTAACTCGTCTGTGTGGAGACTGGAAGAGCCCTACGCTGGGTGAGGAATCGTGGGGGAAAGCTGAAGGGACACGCGTAGGGCACAGAACTAGGAGGGAGCAGAGCCATAGTGCCAGCCTCGCTTGTCTTCCTCCAGTCCCTTCTGTGCTAACCGTGGAGGCCCCAGTCCCTCCCCAGACCACCACTCTCTACTTCCAGGTTCATCTGTACTCTTAGGAACCCTTTTACCTTCCATTCTTTTGCGACCCCTGTTCCGCCGGCTCCAGGCTTCTCCACATCTTAAGATGTTCAAGCACATTCTTGAAAAATGGAACCAGGATTTGTTCAACAATCTCAACTGGAACCCCCACCCTGTTTCCTGAGGAAACAATATGGAGCAAGCCCCTTTTCAAAACTAGACACTGTGAACTGCCAAATACAGAAACTTCCATTTGAAAAGAAATTTGTTTATTCTACGAAAAAAAAAAAAGCCTGGCAGAACCATCAAAATGCCCGAACTTTGTTTTAACTCTAATAAAGGGTTGCTAATTTCCACCTACTGGATTTTCTGATCACGACAACAAAAGATATTTTCTGAAATCTTCAGAACTTTTTTGTTAGAAGTATTTCTGACGGGGCACCTAGCCACCTAGGTCGTTAAGCGTCTGCCTTCGGCTCAGGTCATGATCCCAGGGTCCTGGGATCGAGCCCCGCATCGGGCTCCCTGCTCAGCGGGGAGCCTGCTTCTCCCTCTGACCCTCTCCCATCTCATGCTGTTTCTCTCTCTATTAAATAAATAAATAAAATCTTAAAAAAACAAAGCAAAACACCAACCACCATAAACTTGTTAAGTCAACAAATATGCAACATTTCACATGTTAGTATATATTCCCTTAATTGTTCAATGTGAAAATTTAGCAAACAGAAGCACCTTTTCAGTTTTTTAAGAAAACAAAAACTTTCAGTGCAAATTCAATCCTTTTATGATGGGCCTATCACTGTGCATTCTCTCCAGGCCAACTCAGCCCTCCTTACAATTTTTAATTCTCCATATGCACTCAATTTATTCAAACAAACCTATGACCTAATTCCTCGCTTATTTCTTTTCACTGCATTGAGGAAGAAGAAATCAAATCCTGTTCCCTGGGCTCACTGAGGTCCCTCCTGGCAGAGTTACCTAGTGAGTTCAGCTTCAGGTCACAGAGAGGATGAGCCACTTCCACGAGCAGCACAATTGCCACAAAAGCTCTCTGGGTGCAGGTCCAGCACACTCCAACAAATGCAGGCCCAGAGGAAACACCTCCCAGCCTCCAGCCTGCTCCAGCATCCTTCCAGCAGGGGCTGCTACCTGGGGCCCCGTGGCTCAGGCCCCGCTCACACGACATTCTACCTAACCTCTAGACTCTAGGGAAAGGGTCTATGCTCCCTATGAAACGCAGGTCACGCTCCCATTTCTCACAACAAACATGGCCACCCAACCCCATGTCTAACTACTCCCCACCCCTCCACAAGAGCAGAGAAAAACAGAAGCCTCTGGCCCCCCGACTCCATGATCACTTATTTGGTCATATCCCCTTCTTTCTCCAAACTTCCACAAATCTACTTACAAAATGATAAATTGAAACACTTATTCCTCTAACTTACAATGCTTTTATAAACAAAATATTTACCTAACAGAAAACATACCAGCGACCCTCTAACCAGTGAGAGACCCTGAGAGACTCCTAGCCCCGGCCAGCCGCAGGTCCTAGCCCACCCAGACCAAGGTCTGCTGAGTGGATTTATAAACAACTCGGTGCTTCCTCACCTTTCCACCACATGCTATCACCCTCTAAAGACAGCATCTTTCCAAATTCAAAAGCCCACACTGCCTTTTGTTCTGTCTTCCTATGAAGAGTCTACATCCTCCTCCTCACCACTTTAACTGCCTCTCCAGACCTTTTTTTCCCTAAGATTCCATTTCTTTAAGTCATCTCTACACTCAACATGGGGCTCGAACTCATAGCCCTGAGATCAAGAGTCGCAAGCTCCACTGACTGAGCCAGCTAGGCGCCTCCAGACTTTTCTCAACACCTCATTAACTCAAGCCTCCTCTGGCCCTTCTGGCTTTCCTTCTGACTGTGTCCCCTAATGCCTGTCTGCCTGGCAAGGCTGGAAGCAGCAGTGGCAACAAGCTTTGTGAACAAAGAAACTATGTGCTGGAGATCGCAGTGCGAGTATGTGACGGAGGACGAATGGCAGGGCAGTTGTGAAGGGGTCACGGGAACTGGAGTTGTTTGAGTGCGGTATGTGTTCAACACCACCATACCACGAAAATTCACTTGCCCTCGCTATGCCAGGTATAATCTGAGACACTAAGACAAGTAAAATGCAGTTTCTCCCTGTTTTCAGTGAGTCTGACCAATGAAGAAATAAATCTCATAATGGAAGGAATTAGGTTACTCATCAAATTCAACTATGAGCAACAGAACCTAAGCTCAGTATTCTTTATACTTACATATATATATATATTTTTAAGATCTTATTTATTTGACAGAGAGAGACACAGCAAGAGAGGGAACACAAGCAGGGGGAGTGGGAGAGGGAGAAGCAGGCTTCCCGCAGAGCAGGGAGTCCGATGCGGGGCTTGATCCCAGGACCCCGGGATCATGTCCTGAGCCGAAGGCAGACACTTAACGACTGAGCCACCCAGCCGCCCCTATACTTATATTTTCACT